CCTGCAGCCCATGGAGGACCCCACACCAGATCAGGTGGATGCCCGAAGGAGGCTGTGACCCCATGGGAAGCCCACGCTGGATCATGCTCCTGGTCAGACTTGTGACTCCATGAAGGACCCATCCTGGAGCAGTTCATGAAGAACTGTGGCCCATGGGAAGGACTCACGCTGGAGAAGTCCATGTAGGATGGTTTCCCATGAGAGGGAACCCACGCTGGAGCAGGGGAGGAGTGTGAGGGGTCCTCCCCCTGAGGAGGGAGCAGCGGCAGAGACACCATGTGATGAAGTGACCCCAACTCCCATCCCCATCCCCTGTGCTGCTGGGGGGGAGGAGGTGGAAATCGGGAGAGAAACAGGGAGGGGTGGGGGGAGGTGGTTGAACATTTGGGTTTATTTCTCATTATCCTCTGATCTGATTGATAATAAATTAATTAGCTTTTCTGCAAGTCGAGCCTGTTCCGGCCGTGCCGGTGGTTGCTGAGTGATCTCTCCCTGTCCTCAGCTCGACCCACCAGCCCTTTGTTCTATTTTCTCTCCCATCCAGCTGAGTTGGGGAGGGACAGAGCAGCTTTGGTGGCACCTGACCCCAGCCAGGGCCCACCCATGGGGCGACACAGACAGACAGACAGACAGACAGCCCCCATCCCCGGGCACAGTGTGCAGCTGTAACGGGAGAGCGGCGAGTGGCCGGCCGTCACCCGATCTCTGGGGCCATGCCGTACCTCCTCAGGAATGAGGAACATCCTGGCTCCAGTTCTGGGAACAACCTCCCCCAGTGCTCAGATCTCCTTTTAGCCCCATGGCAAGATGGGATCTGGTATTTCCTGAGGCTACATCAGACCCAGAGCTCCTGCGGGGTGACCGCGGGGGATGAGGGTGAGGGAAAGGCTGGGGCTTTCCTGGTGGCATCTAAAATAATGCAGATTTATGCTGGATTTCTGCAGCCAGCAGCCATGGTGGCTCAGCTTGAGATGTCTCTCCAGCCTGAAGGAGGAGGACAAGGAGAAAGCACTGGAAGACTTGTTAGAGAGGAAAAGCGTAAGCATGTTTTTCTTCTCTCTCTATCACTAAGTTTGTCTTTAAATGATTCTCCAATTGCCTTGGAAATGAGCACAGACAAGCAGACGTGGGGCCTTGAAGAATTAGTGCTGCAGCAGACCAGAGGAGATGTAGACACCACACTTCCAGCACAGCTCTCCTCCTTGCACATGAACATTATTAACCTTGTAGATATACATTATTAACCTGGAGTCACATCTATTCCCAGCCAGGGAATGTGGACTCAGACAAGTTTATTTAGTTTTCTCTGATTTCACTGAAGTTGTCTGTAGGTATCTGGCCAGGCTTGGAGGGATTGGCAGGGCTGTCATTACAACGCCCAGGTACATCTTAATTTTCACTCTGGAGGACAGGGGGGTTGAACATGGCTATTGGGACCACCTCTGAGAGCTGTCCTGGTGTGAGCTGGTTTCTTTCCACAGCTGGAACAGCGCTGGGGTTTGGGTTCAGCTGGGATTTGTTAGGAGAAGAACTTTAATAACATCCCAATGTTTTCAGTTGTCACTGGAAGTTGAAGGACTTTGTGTTTTGCTGGTCTGCAAGCACAAGATCTCAGGGGTGAGGAATATTGCCATGGATCAGCTCCATGGGCATTGGGCTCTGCCAAGGGCTGTTCCATCTCCTGTCCCCCATGGGCAGGAGATCCATGAGGGGCTCTTCCTCTCTTGCTCTCTCTGGCTTTCGCTCGGGCTCTGGCTCTCCCGGGATTGCGGTTTTGGGTCGGGATTGTGGCTCCTGTGGGATCGTGATCTGGGAACAGGCCGGGCTTGGTCTGCGGGTGGTGAGCAATGGCACTGGGTGTCACTCATTTGTGTATTATATTACTATTATTATCATTACTATTTTAATATCATTCTAATTTAAAGTTTTATTTCAATGATTAAATGGTTCTTCTCTCACCCTACGAGTCTCCTTACCCTCACCCCCCAATTCTCTCCCCTGTCCCCTGGGTGGGTGGGAGTGAGTGAGCAGCTATTTAGCTGCCAGCCCAGTACCAGCCCAGTGCAACCAGCACAGTCTTTTTGGTTGCTTCATTTCTGGGGATGTGAGCAGAGTATCTGGATATGCCTGTACAGCAGAGCCATCCTGCTGCATCGATCCATCTCTTGCTGGATGGACAAACTCTTCCAGCACGGTGAGTGCAGTGAGATCACCCAGCCAGGAGCCAGAGGAGCAGCCCATGCCATAGGGATTGAGCTGGGATTCATGCAGCTCTGCAGTGCACTCCCAGGGAATAAAGTCACCCCTCCATTTGGGTGAGGAGAAAAGGTTCAAGTTCCCCTTCCCACTCTGTTTCCCCCTCCTGGGCTGCTGCAGCATCTAAAAAAAAATCACATTTCTCAGAGCTGTGAAAACTGGAACAACTCTCCTACGGAGAAGAGGTGATGGAGGCAACTCTGGCGGGGACAGGGCAAAAAAAAACCCCCATGAGCAAAGGAACTGGCAACTTGTCTCATTGCAAACCCCGCAGGCAGGAGCTCTGCCTTCAGTGTCCCCACACTGCTGGTCCCCAGGAGCCACCACATCCTCACACTGTCCCCTGTCCCCAGGTTCCCAGCTGGTGTATCCCGGTAGCTCGAGGTGTTTGGTTTGGATTGACCCAAAGCAAGCTGCTTTATTCCAATTTTCCAAGCAGAGGGCTGAAATGTCCCTGAGATCAACATTCTCCTCGTGATGTTCTCCTTGACGTGGCCAAAAAAGAGCATTTTTTTTTTTTTCCCTCAAAATGCAATTTGATGGCAAGTTCCTGCTCATCATTTCTGCTGGTTAATTATACACAGACCTGCCAGGGCTTCCTCCCTATTTATTGTTGGTATCTGAAAACCTCCAAAAAACATCATCTGAGCCTCACCAGAAGGTTATTTCTCCTCAGTTATCTCAGAACAGTAAACGCTGCGAGGACCAGAGCAGATTTTTAAAGCAAACCCACTGCAAACATGATTTCCAACCCATTTTAACACCCTAGGGTGGGTTTCCCAGCAGGATGCTGAACCCCGAGGTCCCTGTCCTGCTCCTTCACGCTGTATTGTCACCACATCCAAGTCATCTGAGCCTTCCCCTCCATCGTCACTTCGTGGGACCCTCCCCACGGGGAAGGGAGAAGGGATAAATTCAGTTCAGGTGGGTAGTGGAGGCGGCAGACAAGCAGGAAACCTGGGATTAAATCCTTATTTTAATTATGCATTCATGCTTCTTGGGTTGTTTTTTTTTTCCTCCAGTGAGATCCCTTCCCCCTGCCTGGCATGATTTGGGCTCCAAAATGGACTTTTTTCCAATCAACTTGGCTTTTCTCTGCTAAGCTGGATGATAGGTTCTATCTCTGCACAGTTACTTAAGCAATTATGCATCTTAATGTGCATTTATTGAGATGCTTCATTTTTACATTTGTATTAAATGAAACCCGTTGAATGACGCATTTCTTATTCACTAGGTGATCATTTTATTTTTTTTACCCAGAATTTTGAGCCAAGCCACTTTTGGATGGAAATTGAAATGCAATTAAAAAAAAAAAAAAAGAAAAAAGAAAAAAAAGAAAAAAGAAAAAAAGAAAGCAAAGTACCAAAGTAGCACTTTCAAATTGTTTTTCAATTAGTTAATTGGTTTAAAAGTCCTGGATATGTAAAAATTACGTTGTTTGTAACATATTTAGCATTAAAACTAACTGAATCAGGAAGAGAAGGAGTGATGACACTCGTGCTGATGGCCAGGGTCACAGAATCACAGACTGGTGGAGGTTGGAAGGGACCTCAGGAGATCATCCAGTCCAACCCCCCTGCCAAAGCAGGTTC